TCTAATCCTGTTCTTAACGCCTATAAATATCTGGTTTTAATCCTGTTGTTAACGTTTATAAATATCTGGGTCTAAACCTGTTGTTAACGTCTATACATATCTGATTCTAATCATGTTGTTAACCTTCAGAAATATCTGGGTCTAATCATGTTGTTAGTGTCTATAAATATCTGGGTCTCATCCTGTTGTTAATGTATATGAATAGCTAGGTCTAATCCTATTGTTAATGTCTATAAATATCTGGGTCTTATCCTGTTGTTAATGTCTATAAATATCTTGGTCTAATCCTGTTGTTAATGTCTATAAATATCCAGGTCTAATCCTGTTGTTAATGTCTATAAATATCTGGGTCTAATCCTGTTGTTAATGTCTATAAATATCTGGGTCTAATCCTGTTGTTAATGTCTATAAATATCAGGGTCTAATCCACATACACTGCAACAGAGACTAGAATTATTACATACTCAGTGACGTGGTGAATGGAAACTGATGTGACTAAATGTCATATGGTCGTAGTAGTCACTCAGAAGAAAGTAAAATACACTGTCTGAGGTTGCCTTTTAGGTGTTTGATAAAAACTTATATCAACTTAGGGATGTGAAATATGGGGATTTTCAGTCCATGAAATGTATGTAAATATTTGTTATATACGAGTTATAAATTATCAAGTAGTGTTGTGAATGGGGTTGATATCATCCGTCGGTTATTTACCACACAAGATGTATTATAGTTTATAACTATTGGCTACATAGAGATATCCAGGCCACTGCTATATAATGTAAAAGAACATTTGAAAGATGGCACCCAAAATGCGTTATATAATAGAAAACGTCAAGGCCACGGAATAATCAGTCTTTATTGTCCACCGAGTTCACTGGCTGTAAAAGGCAAACTACTAATGAACCATATATCACTGGATCACTAAAAACACACTTTAAAGGTTTGCTTTTTTTCCTTTTGGATTTGATCTAATATTGTTTTTACAACAGGTGGGGATGAGCAGTTACATCTGAAGGTATTTTAAGAAATATTAAAAGATTAAAGAGTTAAGATTGGCGCGGATTAGTCACTTCATCAAAGATTGTAGAATTCAATGCTTTCTTTAAGTCCTTGTTGGAATGTGAAATGTACTTATTACATTTAAAAAATATTACAGTGCAGGAGAACATTGATTAAATTCAGAAGTGGATATAATTTTCTCCGAATACAGAAATGCCGTGGGGTTGATGGTGATAATACTATTTGTGCAGTCAATTCAGTATCTGAAACTGAAAACCATTTACTATTAAATCGCCAAGTGTATGATCAAGATGACACTAAGCTAACAAGTTTAATAAATGTTAATATATCTGATGTCAATCAATTGTCCTATATGTATCAAGTCAATTTCCGAGGGGAAATCAAATCATAAGGAGAGTAGAAAATATTATCATGTCCCATTAAAAGTGTTAAAATCACACTCTCCGTAGTCAGCTTCCAAAACAAACATATTTGGGGGCACGGCTTAAAGGTACCGGCGCAGCGGTTCCGTGATAAAGGTTTTCATTGGCTGGCTGGTAGTTCTTAGCAGCCATATACATATCTTGTACCTGTTATTTCTGTTAGTCCTACAAAAATAACAACATTGTATATATTGTTGAATGTGTTAAATTTTACCTTTGAGCTTGAGATTGTGAATAATAAAAACATAACAATTAACAATCTCTTACTATCATTGTATTACACTGAAAGGACGATAACCTCGTTTTATGTCCTTTCTGACATCCTATTCGAATCCCGGTTCGCCCCGATTATGTTTCTAGGTTTGTCAGCACCATACCCGTGCTCTTGGATTTCACTGAAGTGGTAAACGTCTGAGACCTGCATCACTTCGGGCTTTCCTCCCACCTTAAGCTGACACGCCGCGATATAACTGGAATAATGTTAAAAGCGGCGTTAAAACAAACTCACTAACTCACACTCACACTGACAACCTTTTGGGTTCCCTAAACGATGACCTCTTGTTTATCCAGCAGCTGGCCAAGGGATAATCCCCATTGTGTTTGTTTAAGAGGATGCTTGTAACACATCGATAACGATTTGCGACACAAAAATACACAACACATCTTAAATTTACGTAATTCACAGTACAACTAAAAGTGAAACAGCATTGTGGTAATCGTTCACTGGTTTCTGGTTGTCAAGAGGTTGTCTCTTCTCCCTCTCCTGGGCATGGTCTAGGTTTCTAAACTTCATTTTGAGTGGCATCAAACTAAACCTGGATTGTGATCGCAGCATTATCCCACTCAACCTGCAGGATACTTCCAGTGTATGGCCAAATTAACAATGTTGATAAATATTCTAAATTAATAAGCATTATGAATTGTACTTTGTTATTTGTACTTTGCAGTAATTGTACAAATTGTCTTAGAAACTTTCGAAGTACATTATGGCAGCCTTATAGGTTGAGTAAGGTGGGAAAAATACAGCAAAAAGAACATCAGAAGTCCTATATGTGTTAAGTCTATATCCGTGGGAACAATATCCCTATAATTATTCGAAAGTACATAAATGTCCAAGTGAAAGTGCTGAAATCACAGGCTCCGTAATCGGCTTCCATAACAAAAAGTTTTTGTGGCATGGACTAAAACTATCGGTATAACCTCACTGTGCCCTCACCCCAACCTGCACCCTATAACAATAGGTGAGGGCACAGTGAGGTGTTCCCGAACTATCGGTATAACCTCACTGTGCCCTCACCATAACCTACACCCTATAACAATAGGTGAGGGCACAGTGAGGTGTTCCCAAACTATCGGCACAGCGGTGCAGCGGCGCGTGGCAACTGTTTTCATTGACTGACATGTTTGCCGTGTTTATCTATCTTGTGATCCTTAGCCGTTATACATACTGTTTCTGCTATTTCTGTTAAATAGAATCCATCTATGGACATCACCATCTTGTTGGTAGACTTCACTTCACTGAAGCCCAGATTCTGAGTCTTCCTCCGGAGAGAACAATGGCAATAGCGTCCATGGACATCACAGTTTAATGGGAAGCTGGAAGCTGGATCACATCTGGCTGCAGGGGTCGCCTGATGGCTGATGAACCATGTCACTGAAGACTTAGAAGACGCTCATAGGTACGTTGTGGACAATTCGGCAATAGCTAGGAAATCGGAATTATAAAAATACTGGAGATGCCACAGTAGAAGCATGTACAGGTTAGTTAATAGTTTTCAACAGTGTAGAAGGCAGTATATACTAGTTCAAAAAAGGTTTAGGACCACCCTTGTTTCATACAACTACAATAAATTTGTCAAGCCATGACAGATTAATCATTCCAATATGAAAGGATCGGGGTTCTTCTTCGGTCGTAGTATAATGTAGCGAATTCATCCTGTCACTTCCCTAAAACAACATACTGTGTAACTATTATTTCCTGTAGGCATTACTCGGCCTAACCATGTTGGGCGGTCGGGTGGCCTAGTGGTTAAAGCGTTCGCTCGTAACGCCGAGGACAAAGGGTTCTATTCACGACATGGGTACAATGTGTGAAGCCCATTTCTGGTGTCACCCGCCGTGATATTGCTGGAATATTGCTTGAAGCGGCGTAAAACCAAACTCACCCACTCGACCTAAACATGTGGCGTGCGAGGCTGGGCACACAGGGCAAGTCAAGCTCCACCCTAAACTGTCACACCCTTACTTGTGCAGATATTTTCCTAGTATGGAGTGCACCAATTCTAATCGATGTGATCTGTGTGTTGATTCTACTTAGGCGGAATTATTCAAGGAATTAGCCATGCATTGGTACAAGTCCTAAATCGACAAACCTAAATATCTGATAGTTCTAACTCATCTGGCTCGTCTATTTCGGCAAAATCAGCAAAATCCAAACCAGGTAAACAGGCGTCTATCGACGATTTTGTCCAGGGACCCTGGTTGTCCCTGACAAACGACCACGAGTCCGTTCAGCTAGTTCCGTTCCGGGAATCTGATGCTTGTCAATCCAGCGATGTCTGTCAGTTTGCAAGTACAGTTGAATTGGATCAAGTATCACGGCTGTCGATCCAGTGCATCATATTTCGGATCAGCAAGGGCAACAACGGGGTGAATCAGGGTCGACGGTTACGGCTCTCATGATACCCTGCTTTCGGATCGGATTCCCAGGGTGCAGGCCCATCCACGGACCTCGGATCCTACAGTGAGAGAGTGAGTGATTTGGGTTTAACGCCGCTTTTTACAGTATTCCAGTAGTATCACGACGTGTCAGCCTAATGTGGGAGGAAAGCCTGAAGTGATGCAGGTCTCAGACGTTTACCACTTCGGTGAAACTCACGTGCTGAGAAACCTAGAAACATAATCGGGGAGAACCGGGATTCGAGCCCACAATCATAGGTTTCTGGCGTGCCCAAGGGCCGCAACTCTGCACAGCGAATCGCGGCGCCTTAGACGACTGGGCCACCCGTGCCCCCCGGATCCTACAGTAGTTGCTGTCGATCCATCGGATTCCCAGGGTGCAGGCCCATCCACGGACCTCGGATCCTACAGTCGTAGCCACACCAACTTAGGAGATGGATATGATGTTATTACGTTACCTAACGTGCAGTTTGATGCGCATGGAGGGAGTTTGGTCGTACATTTCCAGAATTCTTTTGGGGATGATTTGTTGCCTACTTGGCATATTGGCCAAACATTGGAAGCTGTTCACAACCTGATACAGTTTTGAAAGTTTATGTGAGATCACTTTGATAATATCCTCATACAGGACAATGATCTTCTGTTCAAAGAAGATACCATCCCATGAGTGAGTAAAAATTTAACTAATTATTTCAGCCATAGAGCGACTCCTACCCATGAAAGCCTACACAAGACAAAGTTTATACCCCAACATACACCGCCGGCCATCTGACATGAGGCTTGAACCACTTCACTTGGCTGCAGGTGTGGGACTCATCTAAAACCAGACTTACCGTGTTGCTGTACAAGTTACCTCCCCTCCCACCGCTATACAGAAAGTAGGATTTACTTCCTTGTTACGTGGACAAGACAGACACTCCCCTGCACGTTCTTCACGTCTTACCAGGTAAACAATACAAATAACAATGATTGTGGCATAAACAACCTTCATTCACTCACTTTCCTGTGTAGACAATATAGACACAAACTGATTTAAGACCTTGAGAATTTATATTAAAGGGTTCATACTTAGAACCAGAAAATACAACGCATCATTATATCAATAGTTGAGGGTTCCATTTGACAATCTAAACAACAAATTTTACAGTTCACATTGATTTATATATGTAACAAATATAATTTATTATTATCTCACAGGACAATTATTTTCAGGATAACTGTTCGTGCCTTATTCTTCCCCGCCCTGAACGCAGGGAGGTTAATAGGTTAGTTTGTTTTTGACTGAAGGAGCGCGCTTTGATCTGGGCATGTTTTAACCTGCCACATACTGTTTCGTAATGGAGACAATGTATGCAATTTGTTCATTTTGTTCATTTAGGGGAAATATATCTCTCTTCGCTAAAATTAACCGGTCTATATTTTGTAAGAATAAACTATTAAGTATTATCACCTTTAGCTATATCTTGGTGTCGAGCTTTATCACGCACTGACCTGGTAATGCTGTACTTCGTATCTTATTCAAGAAGTAAGCTGCCGCGGGTGAATGATTATCTCCCTTCCCCAAATGGCTCTATTGCGCACTACCGTTCAGTGTATGGTAAGTTATTCAGGCTGCCAGGGAGGCGGTCAGGTCAAGCATGCAGGTGACGTGCACTCAATCTTTCTCTCTTCACAATGCTTTTGCAACTTATTGTTCAACACGATGAACACCAGGCTTCTATACAGTATGACTTTGTTCAATAAACAACACATGTCAAACAACTGGTTTGATATGAGAACTTTGTAATTACTTGTCTTGATAATGTCATGTATGGTGCTTGTTCTGTGTGCAAGGTTGAGCACAGTATTGTTTCAAGTAATTCACTGTGTGTAATGTATGATTCAAACCCTTTACAACTCTACATGGTCGGTTGCTTTGACATTGTTGTTAACTTCCGGCAGAGATGGTCTGTAGATTGCAATTATTTTCCTAAAAAATAATACGTTGCATGATATATTCAGCAACGTCGTAATATTCTTCTGAACATACTTCAAATCTAAACCGGAAGTAATCACAACACAAACCCTGCTAACCAAACGGAACCGTACACAACATTAATGAATGAATGAGTGAGTGAGTTGGGTTTAACGCCGCTTTGAAAATAATTCCAGTTATATCACGGCATATTAGCTTGATGTTGGAGGAAAGCCCGAAGTGATGCAGGTCTCAAAAGTTTACCACTTTGGTGAAACCCATGAGTACGGGTATGGTGCTGACAGACCTAGAAACATAAACCGGGATTAGAACACACTGTCATAGGTTTCTGGCATGCACTGAACAGCGAAATGCAGCATCTTAGACGACTGGGCCACCCATACCCCCGCACACAACTGTCACAGTGACACTATCATACAACAAAGAATCATTAGATAAGATAAGATATTTATTACATAAAATTCCTTGAAGAAACAGTGGCAATATTCTACAATCTACAAAATATATGCACAGTAAGTTCAAACACACCGGCACATTCAACATACAAAGGAGGTACATTATAACAATTCCATTTTAAAACAAGCGCAGTATTATAAAATAAATAAATATGAATAAGAACCAAGATGGCGGGTGTTACTCCTTGTCTATATATATGTATGTGATTTTTTTCTATCCGAATATATTATGCTATACACGCAAGCATCGAGTTCCTGTGAACTACGCATTCTCGTACTTGTCTGTATCCCCCCCCCCCCCCCCCCCCCCCCCCCCACCCCCAGCCCCCCAATTGATATATCTGAACTGTTGAAACAATGAAACTGTACAACAAACTTTGAAACTTGAAAGTGTACGAACTTGTCTGCAACCGGAACTGGATTCATGTAATGTACACAATACATTCCTGAAGTCATGTGACCCAGAATGAATAACAATGAAGCCACACCTCCGAGAGCTGTCTAATAGCGATATAAGTCAGCATGAAAGCTTGGAAGTAAATATATAGGATCGATTCTAGAAAGCTCCCTGTAAATGTAATGTAAACAATCCGGTCGGAATGACCTCGGACCCCCACCCCTGGATCGCAATCGACGACTGTCAAAACATCTAAATGTAGACTGTGAACTGTAATATTTTATACGGACGACAATTCACTTGAGACTTGCAATAACTGTAACTGTAACTTGTATGCTTGAATAATAATGATCTTGGAATGAATCCGGAATGGATGTCGGAATTGTCAGACGTCATCCGGACGTCAACAAGACGCCATCCGGATGTCCTCAAATCCGCAATCAAATACTTAGAGAGCAGACCAAGTGTTAATATTAGCCAATTTAATTAAAAGCTATAAAATAAAAATCTCGTATTGACGTAAATGACGTAACCCTGGAACCATACCATGCTTGTCAAAGTCAAAATTGCCGCTCCAAAGTTAACCTTGACAGGTCTATTTATAGATGACCTAAGGTCACATGATACGCAATCGTGACGTCAGGAAAAGCCAAGCTGGCGACTGTAAACATGACTGACATGACTGACATGAGTCAAGTTGGAATTTACTGTTTATTTGATTCTGTAACTTGGAAAAACACTGCTTAAAATAAGGTATGTCATTCTTGTAACGAGCAACATGATGCTAGTACCATGGTTGAAATTTGTGTGATGGCTTGGAGTTTTGAATATCTGTTAACCTTTCCAGAACAGGAGGTTTTTTTGTCTTCTACTTTTATATTGCATGTGTGCTTTATGACAGTACAGGTACAAAATTTCTTTGCACGGTGTTGATCCTCTGGATAAAAGTTACCTTGTACACATATACTCATACCAATTCATTTAGACCTAGACAAATCGAGTATGACAAAACCGTTGAAGCACATCACTGAGCTTCAGGTGTGTGACTTGTTTCCACCCTGGTTATACCGTCATACTTTGTTCCCCTTCCAGATTAGTACCGTGGTTACCACTTGTGCCGCTACTACTACTACTCCTACTCCTACTACTACTACTACTACTACTACTACTACTACTACTACTACTACTCCTCCTACTACTACTACTACTACTACTACTACAACTCCTACTCCTACTACTATTACTACTAATCTCCTAAGGCATGGTTTGTTTGTTTGTTTCAGAGTCTCCTTCTTCATGTTCTTGGAATCTGAAATGCTTGTATCGAACAAACTACAGCTTTTGAAGGATGGAAACTGATGACAACGTGCCACAAGATGGCGCTGTGGCTAGACCTTTCACAGATAATGTAGCTGCCACAGAGGGAAGTCAGCAACAGGGGAGACAACTCAATACATCAACACAAGATGGTGCTGTGACTAGACCTTACACAGATACTGTAGCTGCCACAGAGGGAAGTCAGCAGCAGGGGAGACAACTCACAACAGCATCAACACAAGATGGCGCTGTGGTCGGATCTTCCACTGATACTGTAGATGTTGCAGAAGGAAGTCAGCAACAGGGGAGACAACTCAATACATCAACAAAAGATGGTGCTGTGGCTAGACCTTACACAGATACTGTAGCTGCCACAGAGGGAAGTCAGCAACAGGGGAGACAACTCACTACAACATCAACTCAAGATGGCGCTGTGGTCGGATCATCCACTGATACTGTAGATGTTGCAGAAGGAAGTCAGCAACAGGGGAGACAACTCAATACATCAACACAAGATGGTGCTGTGGCTGGACCTTACACAGATACTGTAGCTGCCACAGAGGAAAGTCAGCAACAGGGGAGACAACTCACTACAACATCAACACCAGATGGTGCTGTGTCTAGACCATTCACACATACTGTAGCTGCCACAGAGGGAAGTCAGCAACAGGGGAGACAACTCACTACAACATCAACACCAGATGGTGCTGTGTCTAGACCATTCACACATACTGTAGCTGCCACAGAGGGAAGTCAGCAACAGGGGAGACAACTCACTACAACATCAACACCAGATAGTGCTGTGTCTAGACCATTCACACTTACTGTAGCTGCCACAGAGGGAAGTCAGCAACAGGGGAGACAACTCACTACAACATCAACACCAGATGGTGCTGTGGCTAGGCCTTACACAGATACTGTAGCTGCCACAGAGGGAAGTCAGCGGCAGGGGAGACAACTCGCTACAACATCAACACAAGATGGTGCTGTGGCTAGACCTTACACAGATAATTTAGCTGCCACAGAGGGAAGTCAGCAACAGGGGAGACAACTCAATACAACATCAATACAAGATGACTCTGTGGCTAGACCTTCAACAGATAATGTAGCTGCTACAGAGGGAAGTCAGCAACAGGGGAGACAACTCGATACAACATCAACACAAGATGGCGCTGTTGCTAGGCCTTACACAGATACTGTAGCTGCAATAGAGGGAAGTCAGCAACAGGGGAGACAACTCACTACAACATCAACACAAGATGGCGCTGTTGCTAGACTTTTCACATATACTGTAGCTGCCACAGAGGGAAGTCAGCAGCAGGGGAGACAACTCAATACATCAACACAAGATGGCGCTGTGGCTAGACCTTTCACAGATACTGTAGCTGCCACAGAGGGAAGTCAGCAGCAGGGGAGACAACTCAATACATCAACACCAGATGGTGCTGTGACTAGACTGTACACAGATACTGCAGCTACCACAGAGGGAAGTCAGCAACAAGGGAGACAACTCACTACAGCATCAACACAAGATGGCGCTGTGGCTAGGCCTTTCACAGATACCTTAGCTGCCACAGAGGGAAGTCAGCCGCAGGGGAGACAACTCAATACAACATCAAAACAAGATGACTCTGTGGCTAGGCCTTCCACAGATACTGTAGCTGCCACAGAGGGAAGTCAGCAGCAGGGGAGACAACCCACTACAACATCAACACAAGATGGCGCTGTGGCTAGACCTTACACAGAAACTGTAGCTGCCACAGAGGGAAGTCAGCAGCAGGGGAGACAACTCACAACAACATCAACACAAGATGGCGCTGTGGTCGGATCTTCCACTGATACTGTAGATGTTGCAGAAGGAAGTCAGCAACAGGGGAGACAACTCAATACATCAACACAAGATGGTGCTGTGGCTAGACCTTACACAGATACTGTAGCTGCCACAGAGGGAAGTCAGCAACAGGGGAGACAACTCACTACAACATCAACTCAAGATGGCGCTGTGGTCGGATCTTCCACTGATACTGTAGATGTTGCAGAAGGAAGTCAGCAACAGGGGAGACAACTCAATACATCAACACAAGATGGTGCTGTGGCTGGACCTTACACAGATACTGTAGCTGCCACAGAGGGAAGTCAGCAGCAGGGGAGACAACTCAATACATCAACACCAGATGGCGCTGTGGCTAGGCCTTACACAGAAACTGTAGCTGCCACAGAGGAAAGTCAGCAACAGGGGAGACAACTCACTACAACATCAACTCAAGATGGCGCTGTGGTCGGACCTTCCACTTACACTGTAGATGTTGCAGAAGGAAGTCAGCAGCAGGGGAGACAACTCACAACAACAACATCAACACAAGATGGTGCTGTGACTAGACCTTACACAGATTATGTAGCTGCCACAGAGGGAAGTCAGCAGCAGGGGAGACAACTCAATACATCAACACCAGATGGTGCTGTGGCTAGGCCTTACACAGAAACTGTAGCTGCCACAGAGGGAAGTCAGCAGCAGGGGGCACAGTCCATTTCCACAACCACCCACAACTACTTTGGTGAGGCTGTATGCAGAATCTGACTTAGTTTTCTTTTTGAGGAAAACAAAAGGAGGCCGGGGGTCATCTAGGCACCATAATTCACTGTGTAGAGTTCCTTCCTATGGTTGTTGAAGGATCCTCTGATCTTTTGTTTAAATTTATAAGTTGATTATGTGCCACGCTTTTTCAGAATCAGAACTGTACTTTTGGGTTTCACCAAAGTGGTAAACATATAAGACTTGCATCATTTCCCTCATTTAGTTGGCATCCCTTACTCACTCACTCACTTCAGTGGAGTAAACTTCAGTAAACAAAACATAGAAACCGACAAGAAGATGTTTTATTTCAGTGGAATACACCCTAACTTCATTCATTTTTGCTCCAGGTTCTACAGTTTCACATTATGACCTGTCCAACTCCTCTAACGTGGCAATGGGGGATGGCAGACATAAAGGCTGTATATCTCAAGGTAGGAAAGGCAATGAAACAACCCATTGTAAATACCTTTCATGTTATTCAGAATTAAGGGGCCTGAAGTAAGCAGCGGGTTCCTTATTCGTTTTTTGAATAACAAAAACAATCCAGCACCGGGTTCATTATTCAAAGGCTGTATATTAAACTACAGTAATGTGGAAAAATACACTGAAACTCATTTAATATATGACAGCAGGTTCGTCTTACATCATCATCCAAAAGCTGTTTAATTATTCAGTACTTTTGAATAACGGAAAACAAGCCAGCACTGGCTCGTTATTGAAAGGCTGTATATTAAACAACTACAGTAATGTGGTCACATACCGGGTTCTTTATTCAGTTTATGTCAAACAATTCTATTAAATATAAGATATTCTATGGTCTATCTCCCAACAACTGTTGAGCTATTCAGTATTTTGAATAAGGAAAACTAACCAGCACTGGGTTCGTTATTCAGTTCATGTCCAAGAAAACATATAAATAAATGGAATATAGAATCTGCTACTGTTTTTATTTATGTACTTATTTACAATAAAGATTTAAATTGTGGGAAAACCTTTGCAGAAGTAGCCCACATTAAATATTGACTGTATTTTAGGACAAATTAACAAATATAGGAAAATTTAATTGTATAATGAGTGTGGCCTCTGCTCTAGACGCTGCCACTGTATCGCTTCCTTCACATCACCTATATCTGTTCCCACAGAAAAACCCGTTTCTGGTCAGTGTCCATCATCACCCACTATAGAACGGAGTCTTACAATGTATCTATGTTTTCATGAATTACATGACTGGTCAGTAAATGGTGATGACATACTACTCTCCGAATGTCTGAAACTATGACATTAGATTTGTTTGGGTTTGTAACTTTGATCGTTGACTACGACCTGGAACGGATTCCATGATAATATTCATCAGATAGGTGACATATTAACCTCACGTTTGTTTGCACAGTTCTAGACAACTACTTGCATAGTGCAGTAAACTTAGATTATAGTTCAGTAGAGGTCAAGACTTCAGTAAACATAAGTGTACACTGTCTGTATGGATAAATTGCCATTTAGTATTATAGCAGTCAGATGGATCAGTTTTGCATTGTGATGTACATGAATATAACTTTCTCTCCACAGCAAATTTACCTATAGAATTAACATAACTGCAATCTGACGAAAGAAAATACTGTCTGGGTAACTCACTACATTTAACTGTAATAAGAATTATCATACAACACTGTAAGTGGTATTGTAACCCTTTCCTACAAATATAGTGAATACAGTTTGATCTATTCCCTTTTAGTTCGTTATTATTCATCCATAAACTGCCGGAAAGAATCCGACTGAATTGTGTTGCTGTTTAGATTCCAGTTGCTGGACAGTAATTAGTAACTAAAAACTGCTTGAACATAGATTAGACTACCTCACATTTGTCAATTTGTTGGACATGAACTGAAAATGCTGCAGTTTCAGTGTATTTGACCACATTACTGTAGTTGTTTATTATACAGCTTTTCAATAATGAACCCGGCGCTGACTTGTTTTTCGTTAATCGAAAACAAATAATGAATAACGAACCAACTGGAAATACGGTATCTTATATTTGTTATACCAAGTCTGAATAACGAACCCGGTGCTTGTTTGTTTTTCGTTATTCAAAAGTACTGAATAACTAAACAGCTTTTGGATGATGATGTAAGACGAACCTGCTGTCATAAATTAAATGAGTTTCAGTGTGCTTGACCACGTCACTGCAGTTGTTTGATATACAGCCTTTGAATAACGAACCCGGTGCTGTCTTGTTTTTCGTTATTCAAAAAACGAATAACGAATAACGAACCCGCTGCTAACTTCAGGCCCCTTCAGAATTCAGCTCATAACCTGATATTTAGCAAACACGGAATTACAATTTATGTTTTTAGATAGAAAAGGAAACATGATGTTCATACATGTATACGCATTATATTTGATGTCATTGCTTTCAGAGTGTCTCAGTGTTAGGATCAACCAGCTCAGTGATATGTTTGTGGAAACCCATGCTCTTGACAAAGCAAAAGAACTTCTGAAAAGGCACAACCACGTGGCCATCTGCGGAGCCCCCGGAGACGGGAAAACTAGTGCTGCTCTCGGGATCTGTGAAGCGTATATGAAGAAAAAGTATCAAGTATTGTTTGTTGAAAGTATTGAAGAGTTTGACAGTGATGTCGTCATTAAGCGAAAGTGTGACATGCTGCTTGTGTTTGACGATGTCTTTGGCTCTGTTGCATTTCCAAGCAGCTTGGAGAAGATACACAAAATGTTCAATGCCTTGGTTGATGCTTTACTGCGCTTTACAAGAGACAAGGAACTGAAAGCCAAGGAAAAACAACCCCAGAAGAAAATTAACGAAAGAAAGAAGAAGGAATATGAGATGCAATGTGAAGATGAAAAGACACAAGTGTGTAACTACAAGCTTCGCTTTATATTCACATCCAGAAGCTACAACTGGAATGAAGGATGTGCAAGATTACATCAATTCAAAGTAAATCTGTTTAAGCCTGAAACCATTGTTGATATGATCAAGACTTGTTTAACCACAGAAGAAAAGAAACATATTCTGACATTGTTCAGGAAATGCCAAATGTGCGATATCTCCAATAAGGACATGAAAACCATTACTCAGTTACAAGACAGCAGCTTTGGCTTTCCTCTGATCTGTAAACTGTACTGTACAAACCCAGCCTTCCAGATGTACAACATAATTGACTTCTTTCAGAAACCTGTGACCTACCTGAGAGGTGACCTTGACACCATTGTCCGTGAAGGCAGCAGCAGGTCGGCAGCTCTGGTTCTCCTCGTCCTGTGTGGAGGGAAATTGAACCTTGCCTCTTTTAAGGGGAAGGAGAAGAGTCTCGCTGATCTGTTTCAGGCTGTAAAGGAGGATGTCGCGTCTTGCACTCGGACAGACATTGGCAGGGAGATCAGCAACTTTACTGGCACCTACTGTACGGTGGAGAATCATGTAGCCTCCTTCTCTCATCCATCCATCTATGATGCTGCAGCATGTGCCTTGGGGAATCTCAATGAAGATCTGTTACTGGAACATTGTTCCCTGCAGTTTTTATATGAGAGAGTGAGGCTGAACAAGGCTGATCACCTAAAGACAACCCACACTGATGATGTCACAAATATGATCTGCATCACCTCAAGTCTACACCCGTTAGTGATCAGCAGATTGGTGGAGGGTGTCCGAGAAGGATGCTTCAGATGGACAGTAGGCCACCCTGTATTCAGAAGTGCTCAAATAGTCTCCGACTTCTTGACACAGATGACGGCAGACTTGCCAGGTGTTGTTCACAGGAAGGATAAGAGCTCAGGTGAATGTTTTCTGTATTGGGTTTCACTGTCAACTAACCATTCACTGTTTGAACACACAGTGTCACTGATGTGTAGAGAGAGAAGCCTTTCACATTCTGTACTCGCTGACTTCTATGAGAGTATCATAGGCTGTACACAACATGGCAATCTTAGGCATCTTAAACATATTGCTGCTGTACTCAAACAACAAGGGGAATACGATGTAGACAGGAGGACAGTGGGAGAGAAGACTCTGCTGATGATTGCTGCTGAGGCAGGACATTTGGGTGTGTTCAACTTCCTCCTCCAAGAGGGAGCTGATGTTTCAGCGACGGAGAAAGATCGTTACAACTGTCTTCATCTTTCATGTAAAACAGGAAGCAAAGATATAGTAAATGTTATCATTGAGAAGTTTCAACACCTCATCAATGACCGCAATGGTGAGGGAAACACCCCTGTTATGGTGTGTGCTGAGTCAGGGCAGGTTGAAATCCTCAAGTTCCTTCTTTCACACCAAGCAGATCTTACTCTCGTGAACGATGACAAGCTAAACGCTTTCCACATAGCATGTATCAACGACTATGTATCGGTTGTAGAGTATCTGCTGACATGTGAACACATAACCATAGACATGCGAGGAGGATGGCAGCATCAAACAGCAGTCATGATGGCAGCTGAAGGAGGACAGTATGATGTTTATAATCTGCTTGTGTTGGATGGAGCTGATCTGTCACTAACTGATGGAAACAACACTGACTGTCTGATGTTGGCATGTTGTGGAGGTAACGTGTCTATAGTGAAACACCTCCTGTCCTTGAAAACATTTGACATCAACAGACGTGGGTGGTGGCAACGAACAGCAGTAATGATGGCAGCTGAAAGTGGACACTCTGATATTTATAATCTTCTTGTGTTGGAGGGAGCTGATCTGTCACACATCGACTGCCTGATGATGGCATGTGAGGGAGGTAACATGTCTATAGTGAAACACCTCCTGTCCTTGAAAACATTTGACATCAACAGACGTGGGTGGTGGCAACGAACAGCAGTTATGATGGCAGCTGAAAGAGGACACTCTGATATTTATAATCTTCTTGTGTTGGAGGGAGCTGATCTGTCACTTACTGATAGAAACAACAAGGACTGCCTGATGTTGGCATGTGAGGGAGGCTACGTGTCTATAGTGAAACACCTCCTGTCCTTGAAAACATTTGACATCAACAGACGATGGGGGTCATGGAAACAAACAGCTGTTATGATGGCAGCTGAAAGAGGACACTATGAAGTTTTAGATCTTCTTGTGTTGGAGGGAGCTGATCTGTCACTTACTGATAGAAACAACAAGGACTGCCTGATGTTGGCATTTGAGGGAGGTAACTTGTCTATAATGAAACACCTCCTGTCCTTGAAAACATTTGACATCAACAGACGATGGGGGTCATGGAAACAAACAGCTGTTATGATGGCAGCTGAAAGAGGACACTATGATGTTTATGATCTTCTTGTGTTCGAGGGAGCTGATCTGTCACTTACTGATGAAGACAACAGGGACTGCCTGATGTTGGCATGTAATGGAGGTAATGTGTCTATAGTGAAACATCTCCTGTCCTTGAAAACATGTGACATCAACAGACAAGAGAAGTGGTGGGACCACACAGCAGTTATGATGGCAGCTGAAAGAGGACACTCTGATGTTTATAATCTTCTTGTGATGGATGGAGCTGATCTGTCACTAACTGATGCAGACAACAGGGACTGCCTGATGTTGGCATGTAAGGGAGGTAATGTGTCTATAGTGAAGCACCTCCTGTCCATGAAAACATTTGACATCAACAGACGAGGGGTGTTAGAGGAACAAACAGCAGTCATGATGGCAGCTCGAGGAGGACACGCTGATGTTTATGATCTTCTTGTGTTGGAGGGAGCTGATCTGTCACTTGCTGGTGAATACAACAGTGACTGCCTGAGGTTGGCATGTTATGGGGGTAACGTGTCAATTGTGAAACACCTCCTGTCCTTGAAAACATTTGACATCAACAGAAGAGCGGGGTTGTGGAATCAAACAGCAGTTATGATGGCAGCTGAAAGAGGACACAATGATGTTTATAATCTTCTTGTGTTGGAGGGAGCTGAACTGTCACTAACTGATAAATACAACATGGACTGCCTGATATTGGCATGTTATCGGGGTAACGTGTCTATAGTGAAACACCTCCTGTCCTTGAAAACATTTGATATCAACAGACGAGGGGGGTTACAGAAACAAACAGCAGTTATGATTGCAGCTGAAAGAGGACACAATGATGTTTATAATCTTCTTGTGTTGGAGGGAGCTGATCTGTCACTAACTGATGAAAACAACAGTGACTGCCTGATGTCGGCATGTGAGGGAGGTAACATGTCTCTAGCGAAACACCTCCTGTCCTTGAAAACGTTTGACATCAACAGACGAGGGGGGTCACAGAAACAATCAGCAGTTATGATGGCAGCTGTAAGAGGACAGTATAATGTTTTTAATCTTCTTGTGTTGGAGGGAGCTGATCTGTCACTTACTGATAGAGACAACAAGGACTGCCTGATGTTGGCAAGTGAGAGGGGTAACGTGTCTATAGTGAAACACCTCCTGTCCTTGAAAACATTTGACATCAACAGACGAGGGGGGTCACAGAAACAAACAGCAGTTATGATGGCAGCTGTAAGAGGACAGTATGATGTTTATGATCTTCTTGTGTTGGAGGGAGCTGATCTGTCACTAACTGATGGAAACAACAAGGACTGCCTGATGTCGGCATGTGAGGGAGGTGACGTGTATATAGTGAAACACCTCCTGTCCTTGAAAACATTTGACATCAACAGACGAGGGGGGTCACAGAAACAAACAGCAGTTATGATGGCAGCTGAAAGAGGACAGTATGATGTTTATGATCTTCTTGTGTTGGAGGGAGCGGATCTGTCACTAACTGATGAAGACAACAATGAATGTGGAGATGTGAGGGAAGCAGCGTGTCCATAGTGAATCACCTCCTTTGGTTGAAACGTCTGGTCGAGGCGAATGAAAATTCAGGCATAAAAAGAACGAGTACATTACTGAGTGAGTCAGTTTGACAAGGACCCAGTCACGGGAATAAACACTAAGGTTTTTTACATGGTACCGGAGTCTGGAGTGCAATAATCACTACCTAAGACATAAAAGAAACAAGCCATGGTTTTGGACAGAATGTGTTTTAAAGACATATATTTTCGTAAAATATACGCGTGTGTCTTTGTAATCATGAAGGATACTAAACCATCCGTAACCATGAAGATTCGTACCCAACGAAAATGGCTAACGCGTAACAAAAAGTCTCGCCAGATTCGTATCTGTTTTGGTGGTGTCATGTTTTATTTGGTTTGCCCGTACCCTAATTTGAAGGATCGGTATCCAGATTGGGATTGCCCGTACCCATTTAGGTTTTTAAAGCAAAATGCCCAAAACTGGATTGCTTTAACAGGTACAGAGCAAGAAAACGTGTTTCTAATCATTTATTCAACAGTAAATTCTCATATATTCTGACCTGCACTTTCATAGCAATCTGTTCATTGCACTATTACATTTCCCATATTCATTCTTTTTACATTTCAAGCATTGACCCTGTATACGTTTCTGAACTTTATTCATTATACAATACAAACATTCATACATTTTACATTTGAAAATTCATTCATTTAAAATTTCAAAAATTCATTCATTCATTGGTGAATGAACAATCAACCAATTCACTCGATCAATGTCCGTTTTTGAACTCAAGTGGACTTACTTGCTCAACTCAATCAATGTCTGTGGTTTATCTTCAAGTGGCTTTGATTGCTCAACTCAATCAGTGTCCGTGGTTTGTCTTCAAGTGGCCTTACTTGCTCAACTCAATCAATATCTGTGGTTTGTCTTCAAGTGGCTTTGATTGCTCAACTCAATCAGTGTCCGTTTTTGTCCTCAAGTGGCCTTACTTGCTCAACTCAATCAATATCTGTGGTTTGTCTTCAAGTGGCTTTGATTGCTCAACTCAATCAGTGTCCGTTTTTGTCCTCAAGTGGCCTTACTTGCTCAACTCAATCAATGTCTGTGGTTTGTCTTCAAGTGGCTTTAATTGCTCAACTCAATCAGTGTCCGTGGTTTGTCTTCAAGTGGCCTTACTTGCTCAACTCAATCAGTGTCCGTGGTTTGTCTTCAAGTGGCCTTACTTGCTCAACTCAATCAGTGTCCGTGGTTTGTCTTCAAGTGGCCTTACTTGCTCAACTCAATCAATGTCCGTGGTTTGTCTTCAAGTGGCCTTACTTGCTCAACTCAATCAGTGTCCGTGGTTTGTCTTCAAGTGGCCTTACTTGCTCAACTCAATCAATGTCTCTGGTTTGTCTTCAAGTGGCCTTACTTGCTCAACTCAATCAGTGTCCGTGGTTTGTCTTCAAGTGGCCTTACTTGCTCAACTCAATCAGTGTCCGTGGTTTGTCTTCAAGTGGCCTTACTTGCTCAACTCAATCAGTGTCCGTGGTTTGTCTTCAAGTGGCCTTACTTGCTCAACTCAATCAATGTCTGAGGTTTGTCTTCAAGTGGCCTTAATTGCTCAACTCAATCAGTGTCCGTGGTTTGTCTTCAAGTGGCCTTACTTGCTCAACTCAATCAATGTCTGAGGTTTGTCTTCAAGTGGCCTTAATTGCTCAACTCAATCAATGTCTGAGGTTTGTCTTCGAGTGGCTTTAACTGCTCAACTCAATCAATGTCTGAGGTTTGCCTTCAAGTGGCCTTAATTGCTCAACTCAATCAATGTCTGTGGTTTGTGATATTAGTCCTCAAGTGGCCTCGTCACCTAGAGAGTTGCAGTCTGAAAGCTGATATCTCTCTCTGCTGGTATTTATACCAGCTTCTGAAACGTTTGCCTTGGTGTGACAAATCATGTGTAGTTTCATTGGGTACAGATTCGCCTTTTGGGGGTAGGAGTCATGCAGTTGATTAGGAGCAAGTTGGTACGAGTTCTCCAACACTTGGGTACGAGTCATCCAGTTGATTAGGAACGAGTGGGTACTGACGCTATGTTGATGTAACATATTGTAAATTTAATTAATGTGGTTTAAATTTATTGATTGATGTATGTCATGTTACCATGTGGTTATATCTGTTCAATCTTTGGATGTATTTTAATGATGACAGCGATGATGGTCAGGGACTATTTCTTGTCTACACTCTTGCATCATGGCTATTTTTAGAATGTAAGTTGACATTTTGCCTTGATAAACAAATACCTAATACACTAGTTATTGAAGATTTCCCGATTCATTTCTTCCTCTAGGATGTTTTAAAGTATATTTCACATTGGATATTAATGGTAATTAAACTTGATTGCACCGAATGACTTTTCCATCCGCTGTTTTTCATTTCTAAGGTTTCGGTGACCTGTCAATTATGTTTATGTTTGGCATAATGACTGTTAATAACTTGGATGTCCGTTTTCATATCAAAGTCATAGATTCATGATAAAGTAGTTTCCTGTTGTCTACACTGTACATGCATTATTCAGACACATAGGCACACAATGTATACGTTCCTGTATCTCTTGCATTTGTACCTGTAATATGGTATTCGTTCCCTGGTTTGACATACATTGCCGACAATTCAAGGCAATATTGACAATATGTTTGTCCGTTTTTTTCAGTTAGCATTTGATAAGTATTTTAGTCCATCTTGTTACTGTCTGAAAAATTAAAGGACATATAGGAGAACATCAATGCCTGAAATGAGGGTTTATTTGTCGCTTGCTCTGAACCGTGCTTGTCCTTAATTTTGTATTATCAGATATCAGCTCAAATCAGTTTGTTTATCATGTTTGATCTATTTGGTTGGTTGGTTGGTTGTTTAACGTCGCACTCAGCAATATTCCATATGTTTGACGGCGGTCTGTAAATAATCGAGTCTGGAACAGACAATCCAATGATTGATATCATGAGCATCGATCCACGCAATTGCCGTTCTATTCGGACACTTTGTACATCATGAGGACGGTACCAATTGATAAAAGCAACTGATCGTTTTGTAAATTACACTTGTTATTGAGTTAATCCATCGTCCAAGATGGCAGCCACTGACGCTATCTTGGTGGAAATTATTGTGAATTTAATTATAAGAAATAAAACATTAAAGTAAATAATAAGATTTCAGCATCATAGATAGTTACATTGTAACATTTTCATTGTTGATAGCAATGTTTATCCATCACTGAATGTTCGTAGCACTTGTCAGACATGACCTAATTACCACTGTGCATCACTACAATATTTACATCCATGAGTAATCTACCGACTGATGATATATGCATTATTATCGTACAGGTTGATGTATGTGTTACCTCTAATAAATTCTCTTGATGTCCTTACTATTTCTACAGTGCCCTAATTGTTTTCGGACAAACAGGACATTCAAGACATTACATTCAAGGCCTCAGTAAAGCCTTCAAAAAGTTGTATGGTAGACATGTGGAGACATTTCCAAATTTGACGCATCAGTGAATAAAATTATTTTTGATGTAATTTCCTACTTTGACGTGTACAATTTTGTCATACAGGTACTCTATATGTGTATATTTTTACAATGGGCATACAGATTTCCATAACTTATTCACATAAAGAAATATAAAGTCAGAAGTTGAAAGTAAAGTGAACCTCAAGGGGGGCACGGGTGGCCCAGTCGTCTAAGGCGCCGCGATTCTCTGTGCAGAGTTGCGTCCCTTGGGCACGCGAGAAACCTATGACTGTGGGTTTGAATCCCGGTTCGCCACGATTATGTTTCTAAGATTGTCAGCACCATACTCGTGCTTGTGGGTTTCAATGAAGTGGTAAACGTCTGAGACCTGCATACTTCGGGCTTTCCTCCCACATTAAGCTGACCCACCGTGATATGACTGGAATACTGTTAAAAGCGGCGTTAAACCCAACTCTCTTACTCACTCACTCACCTCAAGGTCCAGCACAGTTGGCGCACTGACGTCACACAATACAAGGTATGACGTTAAATAATGAAGTGTCACAGCTTGACCTGTCGGTCCCTTGTGACGTTGTATGTTGTCATGTGTATTGAAGGATGACTGATTGACGCCCCTAGCGAGTCTAGGGCAAGTTTCCGCTTCAGCATAGATAAGATTAGCATAAATGTCAATCAAGTTAAGTCAATTTATTTATGTTCATTCAAATGAAAGTGTATAATATCCATTGCATATATAATCCAATGAAAACGCAGCATTTTACATTCTAACGATAGCCAATGGTTATTTTATTTCTGTTGATGTAATTATTGCCATGTCTTTAGACTGCGTGTCAATGTGATTTGTTGTTGTTGTTTTTAATACTTTTAATGTTACATAGATTTACATTGTATAACATGACATGTAATATACTTATTAGGTGGAGGTTACATACCTATACAGCAAATGTTAGTTAGTACAGGTGCACAACAATGTTAAAAAATGGTGAAACGAGCAGGCTATATTTGCCATGTTTAATGGGGTCACCATTAGCTAAGTGTGAAGTTAATTCCTTACAGCACATTAGTAGAAATTGTTCATGTTCAAAACAGACATATGAACCAGACAATTCATTTTGCCAAATTTTACCATTTTCTGTCAAACTGTCTTGTTGTATTATTTGTGTGTGCAATTATTTTCTCTATCCGAAATATATTGATTAAATCTTCAGAAAGTTTTCAAGTAACAACTTGTTTTTCTTAATACTTGATACATGTATATATTTTTTGCATGCCAGTATGTGATTTAACAGAATGTTAGAGTGTTTACCAAAGTAAAACAGAGCATTTTGTAAATGTGAATTGTTTTGAACATTTTGCATTCAGAAAATAATTCTGCTTTGGCCCAAAACTCTTTAACATGCTTACAATCCCAATATACAATATAACATCTCTCCAGTAAGGGTTAGCTAAGTGTATACAGTTTTCGATATTGTCCCCAAGTAGGAATATGTGTTTAAGTGGAAAGATGCTAGGGTTATAACAGTTTTTGTTTTGAAGATATTTCTTTAGAACTGACAGTTTTTGAGAAATTATAAAAAACCTTAACTCTATCATTCACAGCCCACCTTGGTCATATTTTCTAATTAATGTTGTTCATTTTATTTTGTCCTTTTTATCATTCCATATGAATCTGTACAATATTTTGTTAATCAATAAATTCACTTGGAGGGTTTGGATGAGAGGGGAATATATGTACTTAGGGATAAAGCCAGTTTGGTTTTCATGTATACGAGTATTAAATGTCAAAATGAAGTCAAGTCTAGCTGGCTTTTTTTGCTTTTTCTTCCACCATGTGTATTTCTTTGCATCTTGATTTATGTCTCTGCAAATATCAATTATATCAACGCTTTCTGTTTTATCAAATACTAACTTTCTTGGTTTGGGATTGTTGATATGATTATAATTTTCCAAATCGACAGCAGATTGAGAACCAAGGTCTAATTTCCTCATATAACCAGTGATTTCATTTTCAAATTCGTCAATATTATTGAATAAAGTGTTGTAAAAAGCAGGTTCAGCTTGATATGGCCAATAAATATTAGTTGGAGTTTACCTTATGCCCGCTATTGTGCTATCTGCTATCATATCATTTAAATCTATGGATTTTTATTGGCAACTGCTCTTGCATTTGACTTGTAACGCGCTATTATACTTGGAAGTTATGCTCATTTTTTGTCCCCATTCAGTTTGAATTATTGTTTCATCTTCTTTAGAAATATGAATGTCTTGTAGACATAATTATTATAGAAAATTTCTTCTTTGGCCATTACATAGTTTCATTACTTCTTTACGTTTTGTTGTATCTGCTAGTCCCCTGCAATTTGCTGATACTATGCTGGTTTTGTCGCCCATATTCAGTGTTTTCCAAAATAAACAGACTCCTGTTGTTGTCAAGGTTGTTATTTATATCATACATTGATTCATCCATGACTGGACTGAATTGAATGTTTTTAATGTTTGTGGGGAAAACAGATTGTGTGAAAATGTGGCAGGGCGTGGAGTCATCCCACAGATGACATCCTTACCTAGTGTAGCGTTTCCACAAGCTATATCCATCATGGGTATTTAAAATCAAACAACATTACCATGGCCAGAATTGGGAGCGTTAATATAGCCATCAACTGACCTGTCCGTAAACTAGGCCAAGAAAGGGAGGTAACTCGCGTGTGAGTGACTGAGTGAGTGAGTATGGTTTTACGATGCTTTTAGCAATATTCCAGCAATATCACGGCGGGGGACTCCAGAAATGGACTTCACACGTGGTACCCATGTCGAAACCTGGTCTTCGGCGTGACGAACGAACGCTTTAACCACTAGGCTACCCGACCGCCCCAACTGTGAACATGGTGTGTGAAAGAATAACACGTCAATACATAATATGTTTCTGATGGCATCATTAATCACACGTAGTTCTCAGATATTATCTTCAGTCGAACAATTAAGTAAAACTATTTGACTATACACCAATACTGGTTGTCAGATACTCCTAAGAACCATGTAACTAATAATAGTAACCAAAGAACTCGCAGATGAGGCCAAAGGCCCTCGGCTTCGTCTACGATTTTTTGCCGACTTTTCCGTCGATGTTGAAATTCAAGAGAGATACATAATCTCACGAACATTGACATGTAGTTTCATACGCGCTATGTTCTTGATAAAGTTCAAATATATGAAAACATTTAGAAAAATGGCACTCACGTGATTCTATAAATAACAGCCTCAACAAACTTCAGTGTCACTGAACGTCATTCAATCATAGATTGATCAAGATAGATGCAAACATCATCGCGCATCATCCACGTTGCAATGTGTGGGTTCATTTAAGACGTAATGACATGGTGATTTGCATTAGTGTACACTTTCACAACGCCAAGCACAACCAGGACTGGTGTAGCCATCGTTGTTTACTACAGCCGAGTGTTGTCAATGTCTCATCGAGACTGATATGTAGCCACGGTCTGCATTCTTCCTGTACTGGAGGGTGTTATCTAGCCCTTTTTCCTGTGCTCTAAATGTCCCTGGCCTGACTGTCTCCCCTCAATCAGGAATTGACCAATCCACTTTGCCAGCGCCATACTTGATCTATGTTCAAAAAACAGTATACGCAGTTGGTGAATTCTTCTGGCTCCTCTACACAGTTGGTGAATTCTCCCGGCTTGTCTACGCAGTTGGTGAATTCTCCCGGCTTGTCTACACAGTAGGTGAATTCTCCCGGCTTGTCTACGCAGTAGGTGAATTCTCCCGGCTTGTCTACACAGTAGGTGAATTCTCCCGGTTTGTCTACGCAATAGGTGAATTCTCCCGGCTTGTCTACACAGTAGGTGAATTCTCCCGGCTTGTCTACGCAGTAGGTGAATTCTCCCGGATTGTCTACGCAGTAGGTGAAATCTCCTGGCTTGTATACGCAGTTGGTGAATTCTCCCGGCTTGTCTACGCAGTAGGTGAATTCTTCTGGCTTGTCTACGCAGTAGGTGAATTCTCCTGGCTTGTCTACGCAGTAGGTGAATTCTCCCGGCTTGTCTACACAGTAGGTGAATTCTTCTGGATTGTCTACGCAGTAGGTGAATTCTCCCGGCTTGTCTACGCAGTAGGTGAATTCTCCCGGCTTGTCTGCACAGTAGGTGAATTCTCCCGGCTTGTCTACGCAGAAGGTGAAATCTTCTTGCTTGTCTACGCAGTAGGTGAAATCTTCTTGCTTGTCTACGCAGTAGGTGAGTTCTCCTTGTTTGTATACGCAGTTTGTGAATTCTTCTGGCTTGTCTACGCGGTAGGTAAATTCTCCCGTGCAGTAGGTGAATTCTTCCGGATTGTCTACGCAGTAGGTGAATTCTTCTGGCTTGTCTACGCAGTAGGTGAATTCTCCCGGCTTGTCTACACAGTAGGTGAATTCTCCCTGCTTGTCTACGCAGTAGGTGAATTCTCCCGGCTTGTCTACACAGTAGGTGAATTCTTCTGGTTTGTCTACGCAGTAGGTGAATTCTCCCGGCTTGTCTACGCAGTAGGTGAATTCTCCCAGCTTGTCTACACAGTAGGTGAATTCTCCCGGCTTGTCTACGCAGAAGGTGAAATCTTCTTGCTTGTCTACGCAGTAGGTGAATTCTCCTTGTTTGTCTACGCAGTTTGTGAATTCTCCCGGCTTGTCTACGCAGTAGGTGAATTCTCCTGGCTTGTCTATGCAGTAGGTGAATTCTTCTGGCTTGTATACGGAGTAGGTGAATTCTCCCGGCTTGTCTACGCAGTAGGTGAATTCTCCCGGATTGTCTACGCAGTAGGTGAATTCTCCTGGCTTGTCTATGCAGTAGGTGAATTCTTCTGGCTTGTCTACGCAGTAGGTGAATTCTCCTGGCTTTTC